TAATATTAGGCAAAAATCTTCCTCTGCTGAAGCTTCTAAACGAGTTTGCATTGGAAAGGGGCTTAAACCAAAAAAATGTAAGACCAAAAATAATCATATTTTTAAGTTCCACTTTTTATGGAGTTCCTTCACAAAAATTATCAAAACTTTATTAACACTGTTACCGCTTAAAACCATATTAAAATATTAAAAATTATCATCATTTGCAAAAAACATAAGCTATAGTAAGTGGAAACAGAAACAAAATATATCCACTAACCAAAGAACGACGACCAACAAGTATATATCTATTCAAAATTTGATTTTTTTAATACAGTTAAAACCGTTGACTCATATTTTAGCCAAATGTTTTATAATCCAATTCTTTACAATTGATAACTAAAAATACAATTATAAAATTATCAACATTTAAGCCACAATTAATTAAGCGCTAGAGCTGAATATGAAACGTATGAAAGAGAAAATTTCTCTATTTTTAAATGGTTCAACTCTTATAAAAGCCGGAAATAAGGTATAAAGTTGGTAAGTGCATATGATTAGTGGAGTTTCAAACCAATGTAAAGGTATATAAAGAAATATAAGTTTAATGTACAGCCATTTAATAGGTATTTTTTAATTGAATAAATAAACACTAGATTTTATAAAGTATATTTTAAATAATTAATTATGACATTTACTTAGATATAATAACCCTTTGGAGGTCATTATTTTCAGTCAGAAGCTTCTAATTCTGTGAAGCAGTTATTTCCGACCCTATAAATCGTATATATTCTTGATCAGCATGAACAGGCGAGTTCATCTAGCTATCTCCGGCAGAAATTAATTTTTTTTCAAAATTTCGAAAATTTTATAAGGGGTACATTAAAATTAATAAAAATCATTAAAATTATTAAAAATTGATAAAAAAAAAATAAAAGTTTTAAAATTTTTTAATTGCGTATGCAGATTTATTAACATAACAAAAACTAACATGGGAAAGCTTTCCGAATTCAATTTAATTCATTTATGGCTTAGTTATAAGTTGTTAAAGAATTGATTTGTCAACAAAATTTGTACATAAAGAATGGTATTAAAGTTTCCGTCAGAAGCTTAAAACTAAGTGAAGGTGTAATTTCCGATCCTAAAATAGATATATTTTTGATCAGAATAAAGAGCCATTGAAACAGACATGTCAGAAAAAAATGAAGAGCTTTTTGGCTTAGTTATGAGTTTTTTTAAATTTGATTCTATAGCAAATTTTCATATAAAAATATAACTAAATATGGACCCAAAGAATGGTATTTTCATTTTAGTCTGAAGCTTAAAACTAAGTGAAGCAGTTATTTCCGACCCTATAAATCATATATATTCTTGATCAGCATCAACAGCCGAATTCATCTAGCCATCTCCGGCAGAAATGTAATTTTTTCAAAATTTGGAAAATTTTATAAGGGGTTACATAGTTAAAATTGTCAAAAATTTATTAAAAAAAAAAAATTAATTTTTAACATTTTTAAATTGAGTATGCAGATTTTTTAACCCAACAAAAACTAATATGGAAAAGCTTTCCGAATTAAAATTAATGCTTTTTTGGCTTAGTTATGAGACATCAAGACAAATATAAAGTGCGCTTTAATTGCACTTCTGTGTACATACTTCTTACATACTTTCAGCACTTCATAGTTACATAATAAAGAAATTAACATATTAAAATAAAACAAGTAGATATTTCAAGAATACATATTTTAATATTATAATAGCTATTGCTGCACAGCATTTATTTTAATCCCATTTGATAAATTCACCCATGTAAATCTTTAGAGACGATCTCACTTCAGTCACTTTAATACGAGACAAAAATATAGTAATCAATTATAAACACAAAAACTAAAAGTAAATCACTGGTTATATTTTATTGGTACTAAGTAGCGTAGTATCAGGTAGTTAACTTTAAGTTTAGCCTAGTTTTTCAGATCCTTTGATTGCTCGAAAAGGATGCACTTCTGACAAACCTATGTACCATCGAGCGGAGCTGCAATCACTCAAAGTACAAATTGTCATCACGCTTTTCCGCGACTCATACAGGACGCAAGCAAACGACAAAAAATTGCCAGCGAAGATGTCAGACAGCAACTGAAACCCGAAAACGAATTGCAACAAAATGCTCAAACACACTCTGCGAAATTGACTTAAATAAATAAATGGGCCAAAACAAAGACAAAACACATGCGTAGCGGGAAAGTGAAAAGTGAATGAAGATGGTCCCCGGGGATCCCGGGGGAAGAGGAGAGTGTCATAGAAACAAAGTGCATTCCATGGGGAAGTTGGGGAAAGGGGTTCGTTGTTAGCTTGTTGCAACGTTTTCATTTCATTTTATTCAGTCAATGCAATGTGCAACATTCGAATGCAACAACTGCAGCGGCAGCGACGACGCTTAGTAGCTCATCCATTTTCATTTGTATTAAGCAAAAGGCAAAGGACATGGCTGCCGAAAGAGTCCTTCGGCACACTGCCACCCCCATCCGCCCGCGTAAAATAAGAGCATTGGCATTACTCAGCAAATACTTGTTTGTTTGCTGCCTTGACAAAAAGTCTATACAACCAGACCAAACCCAACCCGACCCATTCCCATTCCCCGTCCTGAAAATTCGTCCTGGTTTCCCCGGGGCTCTGCTCGTTAGCACAGCTGCGAAGAGAATTTATCTTACTCCCACGAATGCAACTCGATTTTATTTCATTTCATTTTATCACATTTTATTCTCGTTTTGCCCTCATTGTTTCTGTTTGGCATATTGGACATATTGTTAGCCCCGCTCTGATCGATGCAAATTGATGCGTATTGTTAATGGAATTTTTCTCTTTTGCAAGGACATGAGTTCCTAGGATCCTGGGAAACCACAGGAAAATATGCAAAGAAACCGATTTTGGTGAAAAAACAAAGGATACTTATAGAAAAGCGTTTGGCACACTGGCCTGACATGTCTAGAACAACTATGTATGGTAAATAATAATAAAACTAAGAGAAAAGTTTAGGGTTATTAATTGGAACAAATTATTGTTGATTGATTTTAAAAATTTTAACAGTCACATCACAGATAAAAAGGTCAAATAAAGCATCCTGTTTCGTAACTTAATATATTCAAGTTTTGTATTTAAAAAAAGTTATATCTATATATTAGAATTCAGAAGTTTCAGAGTCTGGTAAGGACAAAATTTCTATCTTCTCCAAGTACATAAAACTCAAACCAATAATATATATTCTTTATTTCTGTAAAAAGCGAATACATATTTATTTAATATTTATACAAGATCAGACTAGCTAGTAAGTTATTAGACAATATATTTAAATTATCTTTATATCGCTTAAAAGTGTACTCTCCCCAGATATTAACTCAAGGTTTCTATCTGAGGACAGCGATATTTAAACTTTTTAAATTATGTTTAGTAGTTATTTTAAAAAAAGCATAAGAATAGTATTTTGTATTTATATTTCTTCAATTACAATTTATGCCTAACAATGGGCTCACTTTCTAAAAATAAAAGATTTATGCAACATGAAAAACACAAAAATATATATGTATATTAAAGCAAACTCAGCATTTCCATGGCTTTCCCCCACTTTGAGACCTACGAAGAAACCAAAAGATGTAAAGGGAAAAAAATGTCATAAATAAGAACGTTTTGCAATTTGTTTATATTAAAATGGAGAGTCAAAAAGCATCCTAAGGTGGAATGCTGGGCAGTGTTCTTGTATACGTTGCACAGATTCCCATTGCATTTGACTCTGCCAGCTGAACCACCCGTGAACCACCCGTGAATCACCCCTGAACCACCCACGACTCTCCGGTGGTGCAGTATCGCCTGCTGTTTTGTGAATTATGCGCCTTCCGTTGCATGTGGCGGCATATCCCAGCGCCAGCAAAGGACACTGAGAGAAAATTTATGTGCACTAAAATTGAAAGAAAGAATATATAATATATAATATATAATATAAAATAATATGAATCAAAATATAGTAAGCGAGGATTTACTACAAAAGGTATCACTAGTAAATTCTAAATATATGTTTGAATCTGCAAATTCAATAAAGGATGTTGCAAGGACCTTTACCAACCTCATAAATAAACAAGTTTGCTGGTTAAAAAATCAACAAAAATAATAACAACAAATATATTTAAATTTTTAAATTTTAAATACATTTTTCTCCCGGTGTCCTTTATTCCGATTCCAAGGCCCAAGTCAAAATAATGGCTTGACGCGCCTGGCTGCATATTTTTGAAGTCAGCGTAGAAGGATGCAGGATGTGAGAGTGAGGGTGGAGGGAAATTGGGGAGGAGCTGGTCCGCCGCCTACAACTAACTGCGCTCGTTTTTGTAATAAAAATGTCATAAATCTTGATTTCTTGAACTCTAAACCAAAAAGCGTGCGATAGCAACGCAGGACATAGCCCACTGTCTCTTTCTCTATGCCCTTCCAGGACCTTTGGCTGCTGCCATTTCACTCCCTCCCTCGCGTGCATTGTTTTGGGTGGGCAATATAACTGTCTATTTATGCTCGCCTGGCATATGAAGTGCTTTTTATTTGTTTTTATTTATTTGCACTCGTTTGCATTGCTCTTGCCCTGCCTCTTAGTCTCTCATGTGCCATAATCTATGCCGGGATAATTGATTTATTTGAGCAGTTTTGCGAAATGAAGCGGAAAATAAGTTTACATTAGGGACTTACATATAACGAGAGGAAAAGTGGTGTATGACATATCGGGAAAATAATCTCACCCTATTTTATATTGAAAATATCGTAAAGTTTTCATATATGGAACATTAAGCCACAAAATTAAACCTAAAAAGATGAAGCATTAAATGTATATCCTAAGAAACTGAAAGCTTTAATAAAATGCTTTAAAATATCATTTAAATTTCACTAAAAACACTGAATTATTAGCAAATAACTAAACCCAAACTAAAGCACCATAATATCACAGAAATCACTCAATAAATTAAACACACTTTTCTCTTTTTACGTCATCATTTGTCTTCAAATTTCTTTGACATCGTAAAGGCTTACATATAGAACTTATAAAGATTTTACACATTTTCGACTTAATCATTAGAGACACTGGCATTGAATTCATACTACAAAATAATAAATTAGTCATTAAACATAAACATCTGGTTCTTGTCGTAACTCCTAAAAAGTATCTGCTTCTGTGCGCGTGTGTGGCAGGATTGTCTTATCACAAATGAACATCACTAAAAAAAAACGTATTGGTTCCTAAATTTGTTTAAACTTTTTCACATGATTTCATCGTAATTATAATTGATTATCTTAGTACTAAATAATTTATCATTTAAATATATAGATTTTAATAATAATTTAGGTTTATAATTGTTGTTCTTCATATCAACATTATGTGATCTTGTCTATTATAATTGAATTTGTTTGCTTCTATACGTCGTGCTGGATTTGCTTTTGTTTAAATTAAGAAATTATCACAAATTGTTTTGTCATCAAGTGTTTTTAAAAATTACTTCCAATTAGTCAAGTCCAAGAATTAATGTAGCCCAATAAAAATGTTTGATTTTTATGGTTTGTCCAATGGCAATCACCAGTGATCCATGTCCCTAATACGTTCCACGGGGGGATTTCTGCAAGAAGGTTAACATATTATTAGTTACAAAATATAATTATAAATATTATATAATTTGGCATTAAACTTACGGCAACATTCGCGCCATGGCATGCTTGTGCAGCGGTGAGATTTGCACAGCTGCCGAGGCGATGCTGGAACCAGAGTCCTGGGACATTGTCCTTTGCATATGATGCATGGGATGCTGCACCACCGAACCACCGACAAATTGCAGCTGCTGCTGGTGGTGATGCTGGTGGTGCTGATGATGCTGCTGCAACGGATGCTGGTGCAGCGGATGCGAGTGCTGCTGCTGCTGATGCTGCTGTGCCCTGCGGAAGGGATATCTCCAAGGACTCTTGGGGGCATCCGACTGGAAGGCCTTGTTCTCCACACCTCCACTGCCTGACACACCGGCAGGACTATCCCGTCGCGGTGCCGCTCCCTGCTGCATGTCTCGAGCCTTGGAGCTAAGGCGACGCAGGATGCGAGATCCTAGGCCGGGAGGATCCTCCAAGCCGCGACTGTTTCTTGGTTTTCTATAACGCACATCGCTGGACTCCTCCAGGATCACATGGCGATCGTAGGGAGTGCCATAATAAACCTCGAGAACAGTGGAGAAAGTATGCGGCCAGACCAGGTCAATGATGGAGATCAGGACACCCACTATGAAGCAGAGAATGCCTAAAAAAAGAGCATTATGTTAAGCCAGGTTCAAAGGATAGTTTGATATATTAATTATACATCACTCACCTGCCACCAGAACCAGCCAGTAGCACCAGCCAAAGTGAAACTCCAGTCGTCCGCCCTCCAGGTGAATGCACAAGGGTCGCTTTGGCATCAGGCAATGGTATCCAATGGTGGTACAAACCAGCAAAGCTCCAGTCAGAGCCTTCATATACGCTCCATAGCGGGGCACAGCTATTAGCAGCAGGTTCATCAGGAGCCACGAGGCCAGCGAAGCCCAGAGCATGATGCTGGCAAAATAACCGGCAGCCCGGTACTGTCCACCCCAGGAGAAGCCCTCACGGCCCAGGCTAAAGTACTCCGCCACGGTCAGGATGGGAAAGGGCAGGCCACGCTGCAGGGCCTGACGATAGTTGGCACTCATGTCATTGGCACCTTCCCAGGTAAAACGTTCATTGTAGTCTATGTCCGGCGGTGTGTAGTTTCCAATGGGAATCGCTGTAGAAAAGCAATGATTCAATAAATAAAACATTTCAATAACTAATATATATTGTAATGTTTCCTGTTTTCAATTTATAATTGAACTTCCCATGAATCGCATAAGATCAATACTCTAAGACCCACTTGGCATGTCAAACTTGACTCACAGCCACTCCACTGAAGGCAGGAACCTTTTTGTAACACAAAGAGAACCTTTTCATTACAAAATAAAAAACCATAACCACTTCAATCGCACTTAGCCTTCACATTAATTACAAGCAAAAATCAAAAAACAAGTAACAAACACAAAAATAATAATCATTTCCTGTTGCAGCCGGAAATGTTTGTTGCAGTGGCACACTGCGTATGCGTAATATGTTGATTTCCATGCCTCTCACTCATCGAGCAATTCATTGTCAATGGCTTCAGCGAGCTAACCTTACACACACATTGGAGTGAGCGGCTTTAAAGTGCAACGCCAACAACAACAAAGTCGCATAATCAATGTGCAACAAGTGATATTTCTCTTTTTACTTCATTTTTGCTGCTTGCATATTTTATAAACATTCGTCAACAGTTTTTCCGGTTTACAGCGCACGCGCTTTTGGCCCGTTTTGCATTTGGTTAATTTTTTTGAAGTTTTTTTTCAACAACTCTTAAAGCAAGAGTGAGCAGGAAAAAATAAACAAAAATAAACAAAAAGCTTAGACATTTGCATAATTTATAGACACTTTTGCACAAATTCCGCATAACACTACCAAAAATAAAAACACAAACACCTCTTTTGCGGTTTAGAATTGTATGACTCATAAATGTTTAATATAAAATAAATGTGAGTAATGAACACTTTCAGAAAATTTGCAAATGGTTAAGAGAAATCCCATTAAATGGGAACTCCACACAATTTTGGTTTCCTTTCCCAAATCCATAAAAATAATAAATGGAACATAATGCAAATTAAAGCTTATTCTGCCCACAATAAACCAACGCATTTATAAATTTTTAATTCTTAAACCTCTTAAACATTTTAGCAAATCCCATTAATCTTTTAATTTTTGTTGTTGTTTTGGCTTTCGAAGAGTTAAAAGCGGTCGTCATCGGCAAAAAAAAATTAAAATGATATATTATAGCTGATCACGTTGCCGCGGAGACTGACACAGAGTGACAAAATATGCAAATTAACTTAAATGCGAATAAAAACCCTAGCCCAAAGTGGAAGAATTTTATTAATTTAAAAAGCTACGAAATAGAGATGACAGAAAATATCGATATATCGTTACTGTGTCGATATCTGACGGAATGGTCGATACGTAAAGCAATGTTGTAAGGGTGCAATAAAAGTATATTTATATATATTATAATGGATATTTGCTATCGATAATTGTACCACTCATGATTAAAATATGATCGAATGAGAAAAACTTTGTATGTATAAATATTCGTTAAATTTGTAAAAATAAATGAAGCATGTTTATTTGTTAAGCCACATTCTTGATAGTAACTAGGATATTGAAAAAATAATCCTTTAAAAAAGTCCCACATATAATCCCCAATTTCAATAGAGTTTTATTGTTTTTTTTTTTTTTTTATTTCACTGCCAAAAGTTTCTGATATTCCCACGCTTCATGGTTTTATACCTCGATAAATGAATGACTCATACCACAAATGTACGCCGGCAAGCGGTCTTAAATTCATGTCCAAAATTGGCTGCCTTTGGTAGAAGCAAGCTTACAAATTACAAACTGAGCGCCACCACAAGCAAACATAAAAAATAAAAATGTAAAAATTACATAAATCGTCAAAAGTTGTCATATATATTATGTGCTTTTTGGGGGCCTGGCCTTCGACTCGGGACAAGGTTTTGGCCTGGCCTCCGGGGGTTCTCCCCTCTCGAACTCGATTTAAACTGCACCGAAAATG